AAACCGCCAATCCCAAAAAAAAAAAAAAAAAAAAAAAAAAACGCCAGTACACGACCCCAGCCTTGCTGAAAAAGGAACTCATAGCCTACGAAAATTTCCGAGGCTCGGCCTACTGGACCACGATGGCTGGCGGCCCCCACCAAAAAAGAAAGAAAGTGCACCGCTGGTGGTTCGGAAAACCTTGGCGCGCAGCAATGGGCCTGCAGGCCCGGGTGTACTGGTGGGTTAAACAAACAATCAAACAAACAAACAAACAAACAAACAAACAAACAAACAAACAAACAAACAAACAAACAAACAAACAAACAAACAAACAAAGTTCAACAAACAAACAAAGTTTAACAAACAAACAAACAAACAAGCAAACAAACAAGCAAACAAACAAAGTTTAACAAACAAACAAAGTTTAACAAACAAACAAACAAACAAGCAAACAAACAAGCAAACAAACAAGCAAACAAACAAAGACTTGAGGAACGGGAAGAAGAAGAAGAAGAAGAAACATGGTGAGGAAGGTGTGTATGTCAAACGAAGTCTCCAACAACGGTGGAGTGCTGGCACTTACCACGAGATGCACTGCAGCGCGATTTGTGTTGTTGAGAACGTAATATTGGACCATCGTTTCAAACGAAGGTTTAACCAATTCCAGGTCTGTCACTCGGTCGAACACAGAAGCCCATGCCTTGGTGAAATTCAAAGCCTCCAGAGGATCCCCACCTCTCTTCCATTGGGCCTGCAGATCATCCAGATTCGCTACTTAGTGATCAATTGGGAGTCAATCCAGCACAAATCAAATAACTAGCTAATTATTTTATATTAACGTATATTTTTACTAGGCTACTTGGCTCGCCTGGCTGTGCAGTCCGGGCAAGTTTCTCCAGGGGTCACCTGCACGGGCAACCCGTGCAGGCAAAAATCAGCGCTTTTTTTTTCGTTTTTTTTTTTTTTTTTGGGTGGAGGTTTCCCGTGCATGGCCAGAGGGGCCCAAATTTGGGCTGCTTTCTTTTTTCGACTGTTGGCTGTCAAGGGGGCAGGGAAGGGGGGTATAAATCGGTTTTTGAGGGGCTAAAGGGGTTCAAAGCGGGGTGCCTTAGTCTCTTCTTCGTCTTTTTTTTTTTTTTTTTTAATCCACCTGTATCAACAGATAGGACTGATGGTGAGAGCACGCACTCCTACCTGTCGTGCAGGGGGCTCCAGCCTGTTGGAGAGGAGCTCTCACCTGCTGGAAAGCGGGTCCAGCGTCCCCTGAGATACATCGTTGAGTTGGTAAAACAGAACGTACTGGGAATGGGGCCCAACGTCCCTCATGAACTTTGGTGATTATGTCAGTGATACTACCGATACTATGATGATGATGAGAAAGCTGATGAAACCGATGAGAGTAGCTGATGATGATGATACTGATGATGTAATTCTATGGTAAGTTTTAAACATGGCAGCGATCCGGACCTCCGGACAGGGATCCGGACCGTCCGGTGTCCGGTGTCCGGTGTCCGGTGTCCGGTGTCCGGTGAATGTGTCCGGATCCTGGTCTGGATACCTGACCCTTTGGCCAAAGGCCAAAAAAATTTTTGGCGGTCCACGGCGTTTCGTCACGCCCAGGGCCGCCAGCAAAAAATACGTGCAGATTTTTTTTGGCCCTGAAGGGGCATCTGGTAGGGCCAGAATTTTTTTCTTTTGCTTGTGGAAAATTTTCTTCCTTCTATGTTTTCTGCCCGTTTGAATGTCGTCCTTGCATCGTGGCAGCCCCGTAGTGGGCGCAGTCTTTGAATTCATCCTCCCGCCTTGCGAGTTTGGCCGCCCCCTGTCCCACAACAACGTTCAAGCTTGCATGCCCGCTACTACCGCCATCGTCAGAGGGAGGAAGAAGCAGGGCAACGAGGCGGCCATAGCAGGCAAGGAGCAGACGTGGAGCAGGCGCAGCAGGGCTGGCAGGGGGTGCAGCAAAGGCAGCGCGAGGAGCAGCTTAAGCAGCTCTCTCTCTCTCTCTCTCTCTCTCTCTCTCTCTCTCTCGCGCGCGCGCGCGCGCTGTTATGGTCTTCCTCCTCCTCCTCCGCCCTCGTCTTTTTCTCTTCATGGGCCAGAGTGCTCTCTCTCTCTCTCTCTCTCTCTCTCTCTCTCTCTCTCTCTCTCTCTCTCTCTCTCTCTCTCTCTCTCTCTCTCTCTCTTTATTTCTTTATCATTGTTTGTTTCTTTCATTCTTTTTGTAGGAAGAAGATCTCCACGTTGTCGTCCTCCTCCCGCTCCTCCTCCT